TTATTTTCTGGACTGATTGAGGCCGAGGGCCATACGTGAGGATATGTTGAGTGATGTGAGGAGGCTTTCAGGCCTCGAGTGTTATATGAGGAGGCTTTCAGGCCTCGTGTGTGATGTGTGAAGGCTTTCAGGCCTATTGATATTGCGCTTGGGCTGTAAGATCTCCTCCGAANGGAGTATATTAAGAGCCTGTTTGGACATAAGAAAATTTTCCTTTTTTTCAATTTTTTTTTGAAAACAGTATATTAAGAGCCTGTTTGAATCTCGATTTTGACGTGTGTGAATTTGTCGTCCATTTCTTTCAGTTATGAATGTGATCTAGAAGGTCATTGCCTAGTCTAAATTTATCGTTTCAATTTCTTTATTTGTTTTGCGATTGTGTCATGAATTTAACCTAGATCCTCTCCTAGGTAGTTCTCTGCCTCTCACTTTGTATCCCTAAGTACAGTCATTGACCCAAATGCACCCGCAACAGTTCCTTTCAACCTAGGAGGTCACTGCCCAGTCTGTTCCTCACAGTATTCATTTCCTATTTGTATAATCCATCTTATTTCCAGGTTGTTTCCTCGGCTGTCTTTTTGACAAGGTTAATTATCTTCTTTGAGTCTGTTTTGTTTGTTTAATATGATCTTGTCTTGCCTTGACCCCAGCAATGGTTCTTCTTGTGTTTCCTTTTGTGTTTTGATTTACTTGTTGCGACAATTTGTGTTTAGGTGACCGTGGTAACTCCGCCTGTCAAATCAGCCGGTCCCAAGCATGGACTGAGGAGAGAAGGTGTCAAGTGTGCTACCGGTCTGTCTGTGGTTTTTAATCAGTAGCAATATTTTCTGGAGTTGCCTTTGAATGTCCGTCTTATATGTCGAGCAATTTTAATAGAGAATCCCCTTCCTAAATTTGTCAGTGTTTTTTGGCTCTCTCTTTGTCATGTTTGATTAAAGTTAATATCACTTTTCAGGAATTACGCGGCTGCTAGATAAAATGTCTCAAGATGGGTTAGTGCTTGTGTTGGCAGATTGATTATACTAGAGAAGTTTCAGTCAGGTGTTATCGCTTATCTTGCAATGGGAAATTAGAAATGGTGGTAACAACTTATTTTCATGCTTCTTCAGCGAAAAGGATCCACCAGTGTTTTTGATGATTTGAGGAAATGCAGTCTGTTGTACATCTGCTACAGTATTTTGATGATCCACCTTCGCACTGGAATATTGGTCCATTCTTGATGTCTATAAATGGCTTCTAACTCAATATTCAACTATAGGTTTGTATTAATGTGTCTGCTTGAGAATCATGTGAACTTGTTTTCTAGATAGTTGATGACCCATTATATATCATCAAAAAACAGCTGATACCCCATGACTGTTTGCAGTGTAATAATCTGGTTGTTAGCCAATGCTACTAGGTTCTGATTGACATGTGAGATATCCATGTATGCTGACTATGTCCAGAGTCTCTTTTTCTTCTGTCTACTACAATTTATTGATAATCCAACTTTTGCATTGGATAATTCTTTCATCATTGATGTCTATAAATGATTTCTTTTACAGCTGCAACATAATACTCTTCACTATTTGCTATTCGCTTTTGTGGTCTTTAGGGATGCAGCAGACTACGTGCAAACGGTATCAGTTTGGAATGGTGGCCAACTTCGTCCCTTTTTTTGTGATAATTGAGTTCTCGAGGGCCAGTGGTGCAAGGTCTAAAACTTGGTGGATAATAGGCCAGCCCCTCTATCTTCAGTTAATGCTAAGCTTCTGTTTACGGAAAGGTTCGAACCCATGATTTGTGCCTAACTCGCACAAAAGGTTGCACTCTTACCATTAATCAAATTCTTATTGTGGAACTGATGTTTACATGTGTGGTCGCTGTGGATAGCAGACTATGTCCCAATTTCTGGTGTGGAGGGATTGTAGTATTTTCTTTTTCTTTTTCCCCGTCTACACCAATGTAATGATGAAGCACCTTTCCATTTGAAAATTGTTTCGTTAATGATGTCCATCAGGTTTGTGTGTGAAGGGGTGTTTGCAAGGATCTTCTGAATTTATTATCTGGGCAGTTGGTGACCCTTATATATCCTCGTCATCTTCATACGTTCTTGCCTGCATGCAACATAATATTCTTTACTACTGCTTGTGTGGTTTCCGTGAATGCTAACGCCAAATATCAGTTAGCAATGTTAACTAACTCCACAGCAACATCCTGGAAACGAGGTATGGTGTGTGGTTGTCGTGGATGTTACACAATATGTCTAAATTTCAGTTTGCAATGGTGCAATCGAACTGACATAATATGGCTGTGGCAAATGGTAGTGTTTGGCTGATATGTCCTTTCCCTGTTTCAAAACAATATTTTAGCTGTGAGATATGATTCAAGCTATGCCAGTGATTATTAGTTGGGAAATATGGAGAAACTGGACTGCTTGCAAATTTGGTGATCAAAAAAGATTTGTTAGAGTTAAAATGGAACAACAGATTGTTTGGATTATTAAAGCTACTCTACAAACTACCTTCCCAAAAATTGAACTTCCTGGAACTTGGATCCCTATCTGTGACATGGTGGAGAGGTTGAAGTCAGTAGTGATTTGGAGGCAAGTAAATTTGGAAGTTGTGTTATGGAAACTGGCAGAGCCGGTATAGGAGGTGTGGTCAGAAATAAGAATGGAGACCTAATCATGGCTTTCTCACTGCACTATTCAATCCAAAAGCAACAATCAATCCAAAAGCAACAATCTAGCAGAGGCTGCCGCAGCTAAATATGGAGGAAAATGGTGCATGCAGAATGAGTACAATAGATTCAACCTGGAGCTGGACTCTTTGATCATCACTAATATGATCCTTAATATGGATACTAGTAACCTTAAGCTTAGAAAACTAATCAAAGACACTTCTAAGATCATTCAAGAAGCAGAGGTGATAATTTCACACTGTTATAGAGAAGCAAATCAAGTGGCAGACTTTCTTGCTAAGATGGCTTCCTCAATTAGAACTAGTACCTTCTATCACTCTTTTCAACAACTTTCGCTTTCAACAACTTTCGAATGAGGTGAAAGAAGTTTTTCAACTTGACAAATGGCAGTTACCTAACATAAGAAGAAGATATGACAAAGCCAATTATTTTGTTAGTTGAATTATAATTAGGAGATATGGAAGTGTTCTTGTATAGAGAAGTCTCTTCCACATTATCTTTTGAAAATTATATGTAACAGTTCGGTAAGTAATGATTTGGAGGTCAGGTCTATGCCCCCTCCTCTCTTTGTACTCTACAACTTTTGTAATGAACAAGGTAGGGGTCAAGCCAAACCCCCCACATCAACATCAACAGGGCTTTACATAAAAAAAATAAAAAAAAATACGATTCAATAGTGCCCTAATACCATGTGACTTATTGTCACTTGTGCCTTGTGGTCTTTAATTTGAAGGTCGATTCAAAATCATTGAATACTATGAGACATACTTTCTCATATTATTTGGCTCTGATTATTCTTTTCATGTAGATGTCTGTTTCAAACAATCTCTCAGGTATGGATTACAAAGTGGGACTGATATTACCATGTGGCTTATGGACAGGATCCGAAGCTGCAGTCAAGCGAGCTTTTGGTCTTTGGAGATCACAGGTTGTTTGTTCTGATCAAGAAGTTTGTATATTAGGAGATAAGGTGAAAATGTTTGGATATGATATTTTTGTAGTTTCCTTATCCATTATTAGATGTCTGCTCTCACAACACTATGTATATTCGTCATGCATTTGCTGGTTATTATAATGGTCTTTCCTGAGTGACCATGTTGTGGTAGCGACGGGTCTCATTTTGTGGCTCTTTCGCTGGACGCCAATATAGTTTAACACAACTAGCTCTAAATACACACACATTTTTTTCTGAATTATAAGTATGTGCGAGACTAATTTGGAAAAACATAGTAGCGAGAGGCAAGAACAAATAATTTTTATCGAAGCATTCCTCTGAATTCCCCGGAGAACTTTTATAGTCAACGGAATATATAAAATTGTGGTGAGTCAAATTTTGCAAAGTCAAACCTTCTGTGTTTGGGAAGAAAAGCTAGATAGATTGAGCGTAATAAGCTAGAGAATTGATTATTTCGCTTTGGAAGGAAAAAGTATCTTGTTACAAGAGCTTTCAGCTCCACCAAACATAAAAGAAACGGCCTAATGTTTGCCTCTAGCTGATGCGCGTTATAATGAGTCCAAATGCTTTCTTTTCTTCATACCTTGTTCCTACCCTCAGTATTCATAACATAGAAAAACCTCAGAGGTGGGACATAGTTACTTGTGGAACCACTTTGTAGATACATGCCATACATACTTTCCGAAATTCCAAAATTAGCTAAAAACTCGAGAACCTACCCCAAATTTAGAAAGAACACTTCTCTTCTAGAGATGTTTTTATTGGAAATTTTCTCCGCATCTATTATTTGAATGGATTGCAAATAATTTGAATAAAGAAGTTTACAGTTTCCTTTTTGGTTCCAAAGTAAACCAATAAGTTTGAGAGCTCTTCTAGAGATTTTTCCTACCGATCGAGTATGTAAGTAAATTGTTAATAGGCGGTCTCAAATTAAACAGATCAAGCAAACTTGATTACTACTTAATACTGGGAGATTGATAGTCGAAGGTCCTCAAATTTTACGGTATTTAAAAAATGGCTCCCGGACTCGCACACAGCTCTTCTGGGGTTTCTCTATTGGATTAAGTTATTTATCCAAGTGTACCTGATTGTCATACTTTTGCTCTTCGGCGATTCCTCTACCGAGTTGGTAGGAGTTGATATTATATTTACTCTACCTATCTGACAAGTTGTTCATCAAAATCTATTGGATTGACATACTTTTCTTCGATTGTTTTAACAAAGTGTTCTTCGAATTTGCAACTTCAATTTCGATTAAACCACTTTAAATTTGCTGCAAATAATCTCAACAAAGCTTTCAAATATCAACATAAACAATCATCAACCATCAATTTAGTCAAATAATACCAAATTAAAAAGATGTCCTTTGTCTTCAACACTTTCTAAGGTCCAAAAATGGAGTTTTGAGATATTTACAGTAAATCACCAAAATCAGTCTTTTAAGCATAAATTATTAAACATTCAAATAATTTCAACAATAATTGATCATTAACTTCTATTTTCCACTGCTAAGCAAGAATTTCAAGTTTTAAAAATTAAAAAATAATGGTGTCAAGTGTAAAGCGGGGGCGTTTTGCTAATACCACTCAAAATGGGAATATTTCGCCAAGACTAGTCCCTTTGGGGGGCACGCCATGTAAATTTTTGTAATCCACTCCATTCTAGTAATCGAATTCTTTCTATTTAAGAAGTTTGGCTCATAGCTAAAAAAATTGTGAGGTGCAAGTGACATATTGTAGTCTCCAGTGTTGAAAACGTTGGAGCCATCCGTGAATGGTCAATTTCAGTTAATTGTAATATTTTCTCGCGTTGCATAACATTTTATTGTGTATGCACTTCTCTTCCAAGTTATAGTGGAAAAATATACAATTGGTTAGTCAAACATATTCTCAAAATAAACAACCCGCAATATCCCCTTTCAGAAAAATTGAGAACAGTACTTGTATACTTCTAGCCGGAATCTTATTAAAAATGGGAGTGTATGGATTAATTCGAATCAATATGGAATTATTACTTCATGCTCATTCTATATTTTCTCCTTTGGTTGATGATAATAGGTACAATACAAATAATCTATGCAGCTTCAGTGGATTGGTTCGGACCTGATTTTTTGTTGTTGAAAATATTCTACCATTATTAATAACTACTAAGTTTACTTGTACATTTGGAGGAATTTTTTGGTACTCTGATTTTTCATCTCAAAGCTTTACGAGTAAATTTTCGCACCTCATCTCAACTCCCAAGGCAAACAGTAATACCTTCAACCTTCCTACGGTAATAAATATGGGCAGGGCACAATTGAATCCTGGTAGTCATACGTTAGCCAAGGGAAACCATGAAACTAAAATAGAAGAGCTTGCCCTACACAGAAGTAACTATTTCACAATTGCCTCATTACACACATCTTTTTTGCTACTTCCAAATAATAGGTAGAAGCATAAACTAGAACATTCTGGGGCGGTCCAAATTCAAATGGGTGAAATTAAAACTAAATCTATCTAAAAAGACAACTCAAATTAATAGAAACCTACAGCATATTTTCCAGCAAGTGCACGAGGTAGCCCCGTCCCCTTGACCCCCATTGCCTTGACCCAAACTTAAACCTCCCATTAATCACCACACCATTTGTCCTCTTTTCTAGCTTCTAAAAATGGTCGACAGCACCAACAACCGGCTATAGAACTTAGTATCTCTCCATAAGTGATACTAAAGCGGAGAACTGAACAATATGCTGCAGGATAAGATCACTGTTCAAGAACCATTAGCATTACCATCTTATCACCCCCAAAAAATGAAAAGGAATCTGAGAATGAAGATTGCTAGCACGAGCAAAATTGCATTCCCTAATTGGCGACCTCCCAGACATCTTTACTCATTTACAAAGAGCTTATACTATAGACTTGAGTGAATTCCCCAACATGGGGATGCGAAAGAGAACAGCCATATGTATCCATTGAAGTTACCATGTCAGCTAAAGGACAGAAGCAAAACAACAAAAACAAAACCATTTCGTGATCCAGAACAGAGACAGATATCACAACTGAAACATGCCATAGTGAAACAGTATTAACATACAACTCTGAAGAACAAGTCGAAAATTGACAATTTCATGACACAAAAATGGCGTACTATATCAGAAGATCAAGGTATTTATTTTGGTGACACAGATTAAAATCACAAAGGAAGCAACGACTAACCTCGCTTCATCTCCTCAGTAGAAGTGAGAGAAACATAAGGCCATGTTTCTCAATTCTTCCTTTGTTACGAATGGCAGAAATAAAACAAAGATATGCACAAGAACTGACATGGACCAAAATATAAAAATGGAAAGTAAAGATTGCCATAGTGTCTAATATTCATTACATATGGCTTTAAGTACATAAGAATGTAAGTATTGAGGAAAGGGATCAGAAGCCACTGTGAGATGATCAGTGGCAGATTCCACTCCGT